AAGTGGGTAACAGTGGGACTTAACTAGAGCAGGCAGCCTCTCTGCAGCATCCCTGATCTGTGCTCCTGGTAGGCAACACACCTGCCCTGAGACTGGGTCAGGCCAACAGACAAGCGCTTCTGTTCCTTTCGGAGTCCCCTACTACTATGACCTGCCGCTTCTTCCTGGCAGCACCAGTCGAGATCTTCTTTACCAGTGCAGATCTTCTTCTTTACATCAGCCGCCTGTTTCTGGTGCGAGTGCGCTTCCTCATCAGCCCCCAGCAGGACAGCAAAGCGGTTCTGGGCGGGAACAACAGATTTAGGAGGAAGCCCCTTGCTTTTAATTGTCCTTTTCCTCCTTTTTTTTGTTGGGTTTGGTTGTTGCTTTTTGACAGAGACAGTAGAAACAGGGGGGACCACAGGTAAACGTTGCATGGAAAGGGATCTTCTCAATAGACGAAGGAGACACTCCTGAAGCAGAACCTCTCAAGGAGTTCCTTGTCTTGAAAGCGTTGACACGTCCACGTCACATCTTCACAAACACACATACACATACACATGCACATGCAGATACACACACAGATTCATGCATACACAAATGATTATATATACATTATATATAACCCTGTTGGCCTGCACTGGAGTAGTGTGGTCTGTGAATGCCATGTGTCAGAGTCAGACTCACTGCAGCAGGCAGGCACAGGAGGAAGATGAAGGGCCTGCATAGCACTGCCACTGTCACTGTGACTGCACCAGTATCTGACACCTCCATTTCCTACCCAGTTTTGGTGTGTTTGCCTGGAAACAGTACTCAGGATTTCCTCCTGGTTCAGATCATTTTCCAGGTAACAGGTGGGGTAGTGCTTGTAAGGACAAACATTTGGGTTACTTCTTGTAGTCACTACATGTTTGAATGTTGCAGTTTCAAGCTTTCAAGTGAAATTAGATTTTCATAGAATCATAAAATGTTTTATGTTGGAAAGGACCTTAAGATCATCTAGTTCCAACCCCCATTTTCATGCAACTTTAGGCAGGACTTCTGTAAGATCACCTGTGCTGTCCCTTCAGCCCAGCCCACATTTTGGGGCTTCCCCACCACCAGAAACATGACTGAACCACGCTTGTGAAACTCCTGAATAGGCAAGAGGCTTCCTTCTCTTCCTACAGAGTGATCTTCACTATGGTAAGTGAAACAGGCTGGAGGAGCATCAATCTGCCTGCTCAGGACTTTCACAGGCATGCTTAGCCCCAGCGTGCAGCCCAGTGGTCCTCAGGCCTGCTCTGCGGTTGGCAGAGCTTCAAGGCCAACTGCAGCCATTGCCACAAGACCCCTTCCCAGGACAGACCAGCATTGAGACTGGTCAAGATTTTGCCAACAAGCCCAAGATTTTCACCTCTACCTCCTGGGATGCATCCATGCCCACCAAGCTATTGGGTAGATTGAGTATGTTGCATTTCCAACTCCAGTGGCTAATCAAATGTAGACTTGCATCCCACAGCACTTCAGCTTGAATCAGGAGAGAGCAAAAGTCAGCACAGGTCTCATCCTCGAGTGTGTGGAGAACCCACGTGGGAGTGGATGTGTGAAAGGGAAAAGGCCACCTTGAAGACAGTGTGAACTGAGTGGGTGAGAGGACTGGGAGTTCGCTTGCCCAAACAGACTTTCTCAGTCTTTCCTGGGTGCAGCTGTCACTTCCACCTGAGGGCTGTTTACTGTGTTCAGCAAGCACTAGGAAATGGAAGTGTCTAGTACAGAAAAAATGCCAAACACTAAACAGTGAAGATCCAGAAATTTCTGTCTCACTCCAGACACTCTGGGGATATTTTGTGACCAAAGTCAGTAAAAATATGTATGTGCCGGTAAGATGAGGAGTTAGCTTAAACCCTTAGTCGTGTGGCACTTCCCTCTCCTTCACGTACCCCCTCATCATTAATAGGATACAGCAAAGACTTCACACCTTGGTGACTAGGCAATATTTTTTTCACAGCCATCAGGTGTCAAAATGTCTTTTTAAAGAGACAGCATCTCATAGAGAGTTCTTCTCTTTCCCTACCCCAGCTTCTCCCTTCAGCAGTCTCCTCAGTGAAGGGATAACATCCCAGTGATGCCAACAGGCCCAGACCACATGCAGCGCTAAACAAGGAAAATGTGAGCACTGTTGATAGCCGTCTTTTCATGGTGTTTAATAGATGGAAGTGGAAAGCAGACATATGAACAATCAGAATGACTTTGGCAGACCAGCTTTGCTTCCTAGGCTAGCATCTTAGAGCTCTTCTTCTATACCAAGCAGCAATGTGGTGGTCAGCCTTAAAACCAGAACCATGTGTCTCATTCATCTTCTCTTCTAAGGCCTGAACTCAACAGGAGCTTTTTACACTCTAGTGACTGTGATTTGCACTGCAAACCGTCCAGCACAGGGGCAGCCACATTTTTCTCCATGTTTTAGAAGTGTAGATTTATAAAGCCTTTCACAGAAAAGGTCAGTCATGGAGAGAATAAATATGGTAAGTGCAATCTACTCCCACCAAAATCAGATTTATTCATACCTATTAATTAGCCGTAATTATCCAAAACATAACTGATAGGCAAGAATAAAGGAGTCGCTTATAATGTTCCTTGTGGCAAAAAGAATGGTACGAAAGTAGAAACCTGCTCCCCCTTCCCGCCAGAGATCATGCATGGACCATCTCAACATGCATTCTGGCAACCCAGTTCCTTCCAATTAAATGACATCAGGAAAGCATTAGAAATAGTGTGGGCCCTTTTTCATTGCTTCTTATGACTATCTGATGTAATGCTGAGCTGTTTATCACCATAATCCCAACCTACATATCCTAACCACTGAGTCAGTATTTAACTGAATCTCTCAAACCAGAACAGTTGCATAGCAAATACTGCATGGGGTTTTCATCCTGCAGGTTCAGAAACTTGATTATTACTTATATTATTCTAACAACATGGGTCAGTGCCCATGTGCTGTCTCTGGGCAGGGTCATTGCACTGGGCAAAGAGAGAACAAAGATATATTGCACCCTAAACAATACATGTTACAACGGTTTCTCAAGCAGAAGGTAGCAGAGAGACGGCATGAGGTTCAGAGGTACTTTGAGCCACCATCCACTTCCACTACCAGTTTTTATCAGAAGTTTGAAATTTCAGGGTGTCAGAAGTTTGAAACTTCAGGTAAAGCAGCCTGAAAAACATTGCTGAGGAGTTTCTTCACTTAATTCTGTGATGTGTAAACCAAACTGCTGTTGAACTGCAGCACACACTAGTCTGCACATGTCTGCTACCTTACCCATGGCAGGTCTGAAGTTAACCTCCCCTCTGAAAGATGATCTTCCTCCAGCCAACATACTTTGGTATGCAGAATCATGATCATCTGTGTGTTACCAAGGTCTGTGGTACAGACCACAGTGGAAACCCAGTCTACATCCATCTCACATTTCTTCAAGTCTGGACCTATCCAGTAGAGAGCCAGCGAGGGCACCGGGAAGATGTGCAGTAACTCTTTGAGCCTTTTATTGTTCCTGAAGCATCATGGGTGCATTCAGAAGAGGGTGATCAGGTTTGCTGGACCACAGGATTCAGATGTTAAGACGGCAGGCATGGTTTGGACTGATCAGAATAGGCAGACGTTTACAGTCAAACCCACACTGTTGAATGGGTACCACAGAACCCACAGGTTCTGGTCAAAGCCTGCAGAGGACCAGACCCACCCACCACTTATGCTGTTAACAGCTCACTGGGAGCCATAGCACATCCACTCCACACACGGATCCATGCTCTCCCATTCAGTCAGCCTGCAGTGATCAAACCCAGGCTGTGTGGGAAGCATCACACCCAAAGTGTCAATTTTAAGTTAGGCTTCATGTCTTTTGCAACAAGGCAGAGTGGGTCATTCCCAGAACCAAGGAGAACGCTACACAGCTAAGCCACAAGGGCAGACAAGCTATGGCAAATCCAGCGCAACGATGCAGGCAGAAAACATGATGGCAGTAAGTTTAAACATGTCTTAGCCTGCCCTGAGGCTCTTCACCCCACAGAGCAGTAGATTGGTGTGAAAAGTGGGCTGGGAAGATGCTCAGGACCCCAGTGGGTGTCACAGGGCATTGGAAGCAGGACAAAACCTCGGGCATGCCAGTGACTAGTGGCCAGTGTCTGCCCTGGCACAAGCGGGTTCCATCTCTACGTCAGGTCGGCAGGTGTGCCCCCAGCTCTCGTCAGAGCCCAAGGCCACCCCAGGCAGCACAGCCCAGGGCGGATGACAGCGAATGTGAGTAATTCTTGAAATTTGTGGGAAGGCTGTTCAGACGTCTGACTTCCTGCTTCTGCATGTACAGAGGAGGTGTTTTTGTCTGAAAGAGTGGAAACAGCGCACACTGATGCAAAGCCTCCTGCACTGGGGCAGAGGAGCAGAGAGCTCAGGAGAGCTACACCCAGTGAAATGGGAATGGGGAAAACACAGAGAACTGTGCAAGGAGGCAGTGCTAACACAGTAGTGCAAAGAGGGAAGAAACCTACAGCTGAGAAGGAGCTCGTATATAGGAATTCCCCTTGGACCACAGGGGAACCAGCCACTGATGTGGGGCTGTGAGTCACAGCTTGTTTCCCATGGTACTGCTGGAGGAGGCCATCACGCAGTTACCCCTGCCTCAAGGGCAGATTGCGTTATTTCAGTCAAGCCTAAAAGTCTTTTAATAAAGGTTAATCTGAATGGGAATGCCGGCTTTATAAAACAGTTCATCATTTAAACGTCATCATAAGTTCTGGATGGAGTGTGAAAGTCTGCAGTGAAGGAAAACATTTTGTTTTCAATGCAGCCAAAGAGTTAAACAGGATTTCTGTCTGTGGAAACTATTTGCCTTATTCTCCAAGGCACCACAGGTAGAACACTTGAGGTTAACATGCAGCATCTCTTCCCAGCAACTGGAGCCACTTTAATATGAAACGCATCATTAGAGCGATAGGGCCCTGGTGATGGACGACACTGACAGATCACCGGAGTAACCCTGATGGGAGCTGGTGCTCGGAGAACTCACCACATTGATTTACAAGCCTGTCATGATTGCTCTGGGTTTATTTTTAACTAAAATATCCCAGCCTTCAGAAATCTACGCCAGGGATACCCTGACTCTGCAGAATGTGCAGAGCAAGATCTGCAGCATATGCTTCTGTTTTCATCAGCCCAAGGATTCAAGTCAGGAGTACTCAATATTAAAGTAATGGCTGGGTTTTTTTTCCATCTCTGCTCCAAGTTTAACATTCAGTAGACCACCGGTAAGTCCAGATCACATATAGTACATTCATCAAGATGGTACTGAAACCAAGTAGATAAAGAAAGATCATCTGGTCCATCACCCTTATCCCAGTACAGCCTCTTTGTATGTATCACCCATTGCTAACAGAGTTCTCTCTAGTTCACAAACATATTAATACCACAGGGGTGGACACTTACAAATAAGCTCACTTCTGTCTTACATGCTGAATTGCCTCTGCCTGTAGCAGAAGACACTTTCTAACTTGTCAACCGCTGCAGCTCAGCCATCAGTATTCAAGAGGTCTGAACCATTCGAGATGATGAAAAAGCTCATATAGGTGTAGTGCAAGTGTCTTGACAAGTGCACAGCAAGGAAGCAAATGAAAGCTGGTGAAGGCAACAGGAAAAACAAACGTCTGTTTCACAGTTCATGGCATGTCCCATGGCCCCTGGGAGAAGAATGAGGTGTAAGTACAAGGCCATTCAGAGCAGGGTCCAGTGCAAAACAGAGCCAGCTTGGAGACAAAATCTGGTCAGCCGAAGCTTGAAGGACAGGTTGTTAGAAAAGGGTGAAGTTTTTATGATAAATAATCATACAGAATAGTTGAAAAGATTATATTTGAGAAGGTGACTAGTTTCCTTTCGGCAAAATCTCCATCAGGTGGTTTGGAGTCAGCACAGCATGAACTGGCTCAGCTACCAAGTGAAATCACCTGCTGTGCATTCTCCTAGCCTCCCAGTTCAACGCTTGCTGTTCATCAGTTGCTGTGAGTTAGACTGCGGACTCCAGAGGCTCTGTGGTCCTGCAGAACTGGGGCACCCATGAGTTTACTAGCAGTAGTGTAAAAAATAAGCAGGCACTTGCAGGAAGTTACAGAACTACCTACTCAGCTGGGATGCTTGGGTAGGATTTGTCTCATTCTGCTTAACATGCCAACACCAGAGACACCTGTATATGAGGCAGTAGCCTGGCATCCCTTTAGAATCACTGGCAGAAAATCAGATAATTTTTCAGCGTATGAGTCATCTGGGCTGCTTTGGACACCTGTGTGAGGATGTGATAAATTATACCCGAGAGGTCTTAGTTCTCTCTATGGACACAGAAGTAGCCATGTTAGCACAGAATGCCATGGTACTCATGGGGATAGAAGAGCAGGAGCAGTGCCCATCTATCCCCCAGTACCAGAGGGAGTGGGCAAGGAAGGCAGCCGCTCTCACAAACATCTTGGGTCTCCCCAGCATGAATCAGCAGAACTTGTGAAAATTTAGCAAAATTCACAGGCAGTATTTCTTCACGTCTACAACTGCAATTCCCATTAGGGCTCTAAAGCAGCTGGATATTTTTGGATCCCAGAGCTGCTGAGGATATACATACTAGAACCACTTCATAAACAGGTGGGTGGGAAATAGATAGCAAATGCAAGCAAATCTCTGTGTCTATAGGCGATTTTTTACTTTGTGGTGATATAAATGGTGAAAACAGTTGTTATATAAGATAAATCTTTTCAACAGATGGTAAGAAAAAGAAACATCTAACGGTAAAATGAAAGGCAGATATTTGCTAAACTTATACACAGGGACCTTAAGGAAGGAAAATGTTCTTGCTTGTGTACAGCCAAAAATCAAATGAAGAAATAAGCTTTGATAACCACATAAATGAAAGCCATGTGTCATTGAACTGAGTTTGTGGACCTGGAATAGAAAAAACCCCACCAAAACCACAAAAAGAGATGCTCTCATCATGACCGGTTTCTGGTTCAAAGACAGCTCCCCAGCAGTGCTTAACTCACAGAAAGTGAAGCTAAGAGGAAGTCCAAGTTTCCATGAAGCAACAGGGAATACAGCATTGTGCAACAGCTTTTCCAAACCAAATGTGCATTCAGGCATTGCCCAATCAAATGATAGCCAACAAAGTATGCAACAATGAACTGATTGAATCTTATTATACACAACCTAAATGACGCTATTAAATACCTTAATGTTGGAGCTGACAGAATTGTGGCATGGCATTTTGTGAGCAGAAGTTATAATGAAGCAGTGGTATTACACACACACGCACACACACTCTTTCAACTTCTAACACAAAACTGGAGGCTGGAGGAATGGCATGTGGCATCATCAGCCAAGATTTTTCAGGCATAAGGAATTTTCTCACACAACCGACTGGAGATTAGGAAACTATCCTATTAATTATGGCTAATGGAGAAGCATTTCTCTTCATCCTGTGAGAATTTTCAGCTAATA